AAAATATAAAATTTGTTTTGAAAAAAAATCTGTTTTGAAAAAAAATCTGTTTTAAAATCTGTTTTTCCGTTAACCAGCTGTCGCACCCGTACGAACGACAACCTTTAGAAGTCGAAACTTGTGCGAGCTAAGGATTAACGAGGTTTTACCTTTTAACGTGTGCTAATTTAACCTTCATCCTTTGGAAGTTAGTTGAAAATGAATGAGAATCAGTAAGTTTGGGCGCTAGTCTATATTGCTTTTCCTTATCCAAGTTGTAAAGTTGTCCAAGATGACTTGTTGGTTGTAAATGTATCAAAGTTCAAAAAGTCATCGAAAAAATGGTTTATGCTACAAGAAAGCTATTTTTTTCTCATCAACAAAAAAATATGGCTGCTCTACAGTTATTTTGACATATTTTCTAGCAAGTGTATTAAAATTGAAATCTAAATCTGAAATGATATCCCTAACTCTTAATCCAATTTTTGATAATTGCGTAACAGAATACTTCAGAATACTTTTTATATCCAGTATTGATGTGGATGAATTGGTAAAAAAGTATGCAACAGTAGGCTCCAAAAAAGGTTATTTGAATATAAATTTAATACTTTGGTTTTGCAGAGATTTCAGTGAAAGTAATATTTTTCCTACAGAAAAAATGTGGTTCAACAATTATTTTCCTTTGTGGTTTTCCAGTGTCATTTTATATCATTACTTGTGAGGCATATACTATACTGTAGTTTTCCCCACGCCAAACCGTTATTTCAACACCCGACACGTGTTTCGATCACCAAGTGAGCATCTTCAAGAGGAAGATTAAACTGTTTAATCCGTGATGACGGTCAAAGACTTCCAACTGCCTGGAAGCCCCTAATTTCCCGATGCTCACTCCCCACCAAGATGTCCGGTGATGGTAATCACCCGAAGCCCTGCCCTCACCTTTCCGCTTCAGTAGCTTCAGTCGATATAAATACCACCGAACACCCATCGACACCTCAGTTCAATCTAAGGAGTAGGCAGATTGAGGCCCCGGCGTCAAGTCACATCGTCGAATACAAACTCCAGATATGGGTCTTTCAGTCAAAAAATCAAAAATCAAACTCTGCTTTACTTTGCCAAGCTTTCGCTTCTAATATGAAGCTTCTTCAGGGCCTATAATTTAATGAGTTGTGAATATTTTCGCCATTGAATAACATTACAAATTATACTTACAGTAAAAATGAGCGAAAAACAATAAATTGAACATTGAATTGACGAGAAAGTTGTACATGTATAGGATTTTTTTTGGTTTGACAAATGTCATACCTTCACATAAATGTCATTTTCAATGGGTATGATGATTTCATAATTTTTGACTCTAAAGAAAGAGTTATTAATTGATACAATTTTCATTATTATTATGTTTTTGATGTAGTTCCAGTAAGTTACTGTATATACTGCAGAGATTATCAATGTCAGTTTTCTTATTCATACAATCAGAAGACTTGTTAATTTTTTTTCTGTATGTGAAACTTTGATATTGGAGTAATTTGGTTTATGTCCTGTTTCTATAGTGTGTTGTGCGCACATGATTTCTCATTAAGCTTTATATCACTTTAATGTGAAGTTACTCTATCATTAAGAATTCTAGATGTTGTTCCAATATAATTCAAGTTACAATTGTTACAAGGAATGTTATAAATCACATTTGATTTTTTTGTAGTATCCGTTTTATCTTTCAATTTAGTATTCAAATTCTATGATGAATGTCAACGTCAACAAGAGCAACGAAACAACTCATTTCTAGTAAAAAAAGAAGATATTTATTTTCTATGAATATTTTCAATATTTGGAATGATATTCATGAGTTGAAGTTTTCAGCTGGGTTAGTGTGAAAATGTTATGACTGCATTTAATTTTTGAGAGCCCCCGAAATTTCTCCACATATTCTGTAAGTACCTAATCGACGAACTGAGTCTATTGACACCAATGATGGAACTACATCTATCAACTCTCCTAAATGATCCAAATCACACTGTTTGCAATTGAGACGCCACAGATATTCGGACAAGAAATCTCCGAGTGCCTTTTTTTGACTGACAATGACACTGGCCCTTCGTTGGATGCCAATGCGATTCAATTCGCTTTGTTAATGCTATCCTCAGCTGGGTAAAATTAGGTTGAGTCAGGTTAGGTTGAATAAGGTTAGGTTAGGTTTTATGTACCCACGGAACGGCGTTCGGGATCAGAGAGGTTACACTTGTGTATGAACCACTCTGCGAATTATACAGCTGGCCCAGCTGCCAGGCTAATCTTTGTGTTGCCGCAGAAGTGAGGTGATCTCTGCGGCTTTTATATGAGCCTTTTGCTGATCGGGTTCCAACTCGGTGACAAAGTTGTGATCACCTCGTTTAGTAGCGAAAACTAAACCGAGTTCATCAGCTGTTCGTGCAACTGCCCTAAAGAAAAATGCTCCAATTATTGATCTCTCAGGTTCGCAGATCATGCAGAGAAGGGGATCCGAACTCCTGACGACTTTACAGGCTAAATCCAGTACCATTCTGTCATGTAGACGCTCCAACGATTGGAACGGACGATTTGGGATGCAAAAATGATGGGATGCAAATGATCCATTTTTCGGGTCTTCACGTCGAGCTGATACAGCTCCTTCCGAGTCCACTTTACTACTTCAAACGAGTAGAGTAAGTTTGGAACGGCAAGCATATTTATTGCAGCTACTTTGTTCTTCCCGACAGTTTCGATGACCAGATCTGTCGGGAGTTTGTGCTGATACTTGCCGCGGAGAGAGTTCTTCACTGCTATTACCTCTTGTGAGTGGCATTGTTCCACCCCGTCTCTCCGGCTTCCAGATGATGTAAGATGCTTCCATCTAGGAGCTGCACATATTATTATTATTGTGAGGTAACAAACGGCGGACACATTATAACGACAGAAGGAAAGGTTATAAAGAGTATACAATTTGAATAAACGATTTTAATCGCTAAGGAAAATTTTCTGTTGAATGAGGCAACTCCTGCCAATATTCTGTATACGATCTGTAGTTTTGACAGTATTGAATGTCAATCAAATTTGTCTAAAAAAATACGCCATTAATTTTGTATCTGAAATACTCTTTTTATATATTTGTTGGTAATTTATTTTGAAGTCGCTAAGTAAAGTTCCTTGAATACGTAATTTTTCTTTCCACACAACCTTCCCAGCAACTCAGCTTCATCTCTATATTTTCGCTATATTAACTAAGAGTTTTTTTGACCAAATAAAAGAGTCGCAATATATTACTGATTATAATATAATCACTGTTTATTACTGCCGGCGGGTTGGTAGTCGGTTGTTATGGCGCGAGTGGTTTGTTCCACTCAGTCAATTGACCACAGTGATAGCCGGCGGTTCGAGTCAAACGGCCGGACCATCGATTTTCACTGTTTATCGTCCAACCCGTGCTAAGAATCGCACGCTCAAATGTAAGACCTCGTTAATCCCCAGATCGCACAAGTTTCTACTTCTGGGGGTGGTCGTTCGTAGGGGGGCGACAGCTTGTTAAAATAGATTTTATTAAATAAAGGCCCCGTCGTGTCTGTCTGTATCGCGATATTGTTATTTTTCAGCTTACCTTTTTAATTTTTCACAGATTCTTTCAGGGATTCCAAATTTTATATCATATTAGACAATGGAAGTCCGAACTAATGAAATGCACCATGAAACATTGTCAACCACCTTCAAACAAAAATTAGGGTACTCGAGAGGTCGCATCATGACCTGTTGATCTCGACAATATTTCAAGTCATAGAAAAGTGTTTTCTAAACTAGGTTCTTAAAATAAGTAATTGTTTAATCCATTGTCGGGACCCTCAGAATATATTTAATGTTGTTGTAAGTATTGTTTCTGGTTCTAGTTTCTGGATTATTCAACCGCATCTGAAAAAAACGTAATGCGTGCCTAAAGGAAATTATAGTCACTAAAAGTTCACATTAAATGTCTTTTGAACAGAGTAATCATAGTGCGTTGATTTCAATTTCCTGAATTTACGAATAAATCGTGAAAGATGTAGAAAGCGTATCATAGTTGCTGTTCATCGAATGATTGCCAGCTGTGAGAAATTTTATTTTTCAATTAACGAGATTAATCATTAATTCGAATTCAAAAATGGCAGCTGTTATTTAATCCTTATATAGATAAGTTAGATGAGCATACCAATTATCAGAAATATTCCTGCCAGTGTTAAAAAAATGTGGGAGTTGTAATAAATTCACGACCGACAGCTGTATAATTAATTACATTGCCGAAACAATATTTCAATAGTATGGTGAATGTATATTTTATTGAAATTAACATTTATATATCTCTCTGAATATTATCGAGAAACATTTTTTGAATGAAATTGAATTCGTTTCAGTGTTACTGAATATATATTAATATTAATGTAAGTCACAAAAAGGATTTGAAGCTTTATAACTTCTATTTATTTGTTTGCGAGCGCTTTCGACAGCTGGTCGTGCTATCATCATCTAGGCTCTACTGAGAGATAATTAAATAGAAGTTATAAAGCTTTCCTTTTTGTGACTTACATTAATATTAAAATACTGAAAATAAAGGAAAATTAGTTGCATCATNAATATCTTCTTTTTTTACTAGATATGGCATTCATCATATACGAGTATACTCAATGTTTTGCCATGGGTTTTGTCATGGTCTTCTTTGGTTATAATGTCCAAACAAACCAAAACATTGATGCCAGCCGTGAAAGCCTACCTTCCTATATGAGTATAATTGAATTAAACATTACCCTAAGCAACGTTTTAAACGAGTCCTCACAATGCAATGTTTTCATTTTATCGATATAAAAAAAGTATTTCCAATCTATCTATAGGGGGGAAGATTCGACCAATTTTAAATTGTGCGGGCTTAGTGACCATACATCCTCTCACTTCTGGAGTCTTTATAAGTAGAGCAATCAGATGACCACTCACTAATGCTCTCCTCCAGGGTCAGTTGAAAATATATCCCTTGTTTGCAGATACCCATGCAGTTTGGAAATTTCTTCCGTCATTCCATCAACAGCTAGTCCTAGACGTAGACACCCACGACTATTCCAGAGCTGCACATTCCGGCCTGAATGGCTGCAGGTCATCTGAAGGGATTAGGAAAGCATCTCCTGGAAGGTAGCAGCAGTCATAGGCTGAGCTGAGTTTAAATAGGAGCCCACAATAAATCCTCACGGTTTGTAGTGGACAATCAATTAGATTCTATCACTTCAGACCTTCCTACTTACCTCTCGAGGAAGACCAACAGTGAAAAAACATTTTGAAGCACTGAAAGTCAGCATGTACATAGTAGTTTTTCAATTTTTGTTTACTCCGGTTTCAAAATAGTTCCGACTGTAAACAAATTTTATAATTTGAAACTATTACCAGAAGGATATAGTTGAGTTAAACTTTTTCAATCAAGTTTTCACCTCATCTTAACTGTGATTTTTACATTATTTCGTTATTTCTGGCTTTTTACTTTTCGACCCTTAGAGAGTAGCATACTATGGTCCTCAGAGTGGATCCATACTTTTCATACGACGAATTTCAACTTATATTTTTCAATGTCATTTGTTCTGAATAAAAAATTTATAATTTTTGGAAAATTCTGTCGTCTGTCTATCTGTCCGTATGTCCAAGAACTTTGGTTATTCATTATCTCTCGACTGAGTTGTATTATGTCAAAATTTCACATAGTTTTGGAGTCTCACTCTTAGATTCCATTGGTTTCTCCGTGAAATCATAAAATAGAAACGTTGTTTTTCCGACAATTTTCCTATTTTAACTTCTAAAAAGGCCAAGTGATAAAAAACTGTATGGATTTTTTTTTTGTTTCACTCAGAAAAGGACGCAAAAAAAGTTGTCGATTTTGTGAAATTACCTTCTATGTATTGTGATTACGATATGAAGGATTCGACAAAGTGAATCCAAATTATTTCAAATGTATATATTTCGGGTGTTAAAAATCTTGGCTGATCACATGTCCAACATTTTTACTTTGATATTTGTTTCAGCTAAAAGGGCATTCCTCAGCGCCAAATCTATTCCGTCGACTGAAATTTTAATTGTATACAACCAAATACCAGAACCAAAGCGGACTTCCCGTTCCAATATAACAAGCTAGCACGCAGTAACTAGGTTTCGAGTTATATATAATCAACCCAAGCGAAAAATAGCACCGGACCAATGCTTAGAGTTTTTGTTGAACGATGTTCCTCACGACTTCCAGCTTGTAAACGTAATTTAAAACGAGAACAGATCGGAGAATAAATATTTGTCGATTGCATGAAAGTTGAATATTTCTGGCTGGTGATGAAGTTTCAACATTGTTTTACCACTGTTAAACTAGAAGAACCCCATTTCAGATTTTTACCATGTAATATAATTGATATTGATAGTCTTAGCAAAATTTACACGTACCTACTGAAATATGATAAAGAAAATAAAAGATCTAGTAATTCGAGTATCATTCAGAATTTTCCCACTTGACATTGTCAGCCAATGTAGTTGTCCTGACGAATCAGGAAACAACACAAACGCACGGAGTCAACAACAGGAGCCAACCGCACATTTGTGGTTCCAGTTAGAAGACCTAGAATTCCCAGGCTACATCTAACACGGAGGCAGCTATAGCTACCTGCGTGACATCCGGGTCCAGGATATAATTATATCTTCTATTAATTATCTGCGAGCGCTTTCGACAGTTGGTAGTACTGTCATCTTCTAGGCACTCCTCACACTGAACTTGTAATCCTGTCGTCTGCCTCTTTATACGGTCAGAGCGTCTCAACTCAGGTATTTCCTGAGTTGAGACTTATTGTGATTCTTATATATTCAGAAATTATTATTGAATAACAAAATTAGTTAGCTCCCTAACTATTTTATTAAAGGGGAACTGCTGGAAGGTAACGGGCACTATATCATTTACTTGAACTATACTTAGTAAGTATAATAGTCGAGATACCAAGATGTGTAGGCCTACGATGTGTAGGAAATTGTGCAAATTCTATCTGTAGTTAGTTTAGTTTTGGACTATATCGAAACTATATCGAAACTTTATGTGTTAAAAAAATCTTTTCAAAATCTGTTTTTCCGTTAACCAGCTGTCGCACCCCTACTAACGACAACCCTCAGAAGTCGAAACTTGTGCGAGCTAAGGATGAACAAGGTCTTATTTTTTAACGTGTGATTCCTAACACGAGTTGGACGATAGCAAGTGAAAATCGATCGTTAAGTCGATCGATTTGTTGAGTTGTGGAATTGGCCGCGGTGGTAGTGCGCCCGACTCACGATCGGAAGATCATGGGTTCGATTCCCGCCTCGATCAGATATTTTTCATCTCGAGAGAATTTATCTGGTTGAAGCTGGAATGATTCTGCAACCGTGTTAGGAATCACACGTTAAAAGGTAAGACCTCGTTAGTCCTTAGCTCGCACAAGTTCTCAACTCTTGAGAGTTGTCGTTCGTATGGAGGCGACAGCTTATTAACGGAAAAACAGATTTTAAATAGATTTTCAAACAGAAGACTAGGGCTTGAACCACCGATCAACAAAGCAGTTAATTCGAGTGAGTGAACAAAGCACCCACGTCGAACCGCTTGGCTACCGAACGACGACCGACAAACAGATGAAAATAATCTCTCCATCTCGCAATTTCACATCTTCAATTTTATCTATGAATTCATGTGAATTAACAAAACTTAAAATTAATTGTGATATTAGGAGAGTTTCAAACTGTTTGGTTAGTCATTTACCGATTTTATAGGTAAGGAAATTTATGGTGGAGACAATTGGTCGCACCGACTTGCCAATTTGTGAATTTTTGGACGCGTCTCTGTGTTTTTCACTTGCGAAACCATCTTAGGCAATGTATTCCTCGGTAATTTATTATACGGTCGTTCTCAATTAAATCATCAATTCTCTCTCATTAGTAATCTGACTTGTCCAATATCACGAAGAGCAAATGCCTGAAAGATAAAGTGTACCTTGTTAGATATAAATAGGAACCAGTTTTGGAGACCATCTCCTGAAGACGCCAACTGGGTTGGTGAAACGAGCGTCGAGAAGAGTTTCGCAGTTCTGATATTTGTAAACGGCGTTTTTTTTTTAACATTTTATACATTAATACAAATTAGTATTGTAATACATGTACGTATATAATATGATATATAAATTATTCTCTGAAAATTACCCCCTCCACTCCGAAATTTTCATCGAAATCGGCTTGGTTTTTGTATGATTATTTCACTGAGAACGTTTTTATTTCATTATAACTCCTTAACGAATTTTCAATGTGTTGGAAACGAAGTTGGGATTATTGATGTTCTCAGAGTGATTAACAGCATTGACACATTTTAATAACAGTTGATCACACTATAGATCCTGTAAGTCAATTTATTGAGCAAAATCCAAAATCGTTAAATAAAACAAACTCATGCGGATGTTCTACATTATTGCTAGACAATATTTAAATAAATAGGTATGATGCGTATTTGAAAATACGGGAAGACAAATACCGTGCACTCAATTCTTATAGGTACTCGAAATCGTGAATTCTTTAAAACACCCATTCAAGAAAAGCTGATTACAAGAACACACTCAAGAATTGAAGACGAAAGTTTTTAATGATAAAATTCCAACTTGATAAAGAATTGATTAATAAATATTTACAAAATGAAAAACTTACCATGTGTTGAAAAATGCAAATTTGCAAATTTTTGGTTTGGTGTAACTTTTCAAATTATACACAGTTAGGTATGACAATAAACTGTTAACTATCCTTTGTATATTCACGTGATCACCACTTACGAATATAGGCTATTTTTAGCTCTGTTATTTGTACAAGCGATAAAAAACTTTAATGTTTTATTTACCACTCTGTTAACTGCAATACTACAGACATGTATTTCTGAAGTCAGTATTATTTATTATTTCTTAGTTTCTTATTTTTTCTTCGAACACAATACACAATGAAGACAGTCGATGGAACACTTTCAAAACTGTGAAGAATGTTTTTTGCAAAAAGTTCCACCAAGAAAACTGATTTTAATAACAATTATAATATTGGAGCACTCACGTTATCATTATGATATCAAACACATCTCTCACGAATTAATTTTCTGGGTAGATAAGTACAAATCCTACATTTTTTTGGACATTTGAATAACGCAGGAAAGACACTTATTTATTAATGAAATTTCAAATTTTCAATTCGAAAATGTAATACGATTTATGTCACCCATCCGGCTTCGACAACCTCACACCAAACACTGATATGAATCTGACTGCTTTATGTTTTCAGTCAGTTCATCTAGCCTGTTGAATGTTGTCTTAAGATGTTAAAACGGCATTGAGTGTCTACATCTTTTTGAAAGAAATGAAAACAGATAGAATCGAAACGAAGCTTATATCGACACCTATCAGTCGATAGCCATACCAACACATCTGAAATTGACATGAAGGAATTATTATAAATTTTATTATTTCTATTTACCACATGATACAACTCGTTAGGTAAGCTGGCAGCACTCACTTTCGTCAGTTTTGATCTAATGGAAAAACACTAGATACAGATAAACAGGGTGTTCCAAATTAAGTCGGCACCATTGCCAACTCTTATTATTGATGCTACGAATTCGGTTAAATGAGCAAACTAGTAGCAATTTAAATGGCCTTCTCGATGCCGAAAACAAAAAAAAAATGACATTCGCGTTTTCAAAATTTTTCATAAAATGATGGAACACCCTTTATTTTATCATGCATTTCGATTTGTAATAACAGGCTCAAGAACAAAGCTCATATCCTTAGAAATACAAGGCGGAATGTGCCTCAATGTTTGCATATAACCTCAAATTTGTTTTTGCATAAAAGTGTGTGGATGTGTGTGGAGCGAGAGGATGGGTTTTCATAAGAGCGTGTGTGTAGAAGTGGAGGGGTCGGTTTGTCATATGAGTGCGAGAGAGATGGAAATGGTATCGAGCTGATCCGCTGATAGCAGCGCAAACAGTTCGGTGTTGTCGGATGTAAAATAAAGCGTTGTTTATGGGGGCGATGATTAGCAGGGTCTAATGTTTCAACGTGCGATCCGACATGTTAGAAGGGTAGTAAGAGCTGTCCAAGTTGTCGCGTAAAAAATTAAGCGTGATAGCGACACGGTCGAATTATAAAAATAATGGTATAATAATAATAATGAAGGAAAAATCGGCTTGAAGAAAAAACATGACGGCAGGCATTCAGTACAGCGTTAAAGAAAAAAAAACATGGCTACCAACGTAAAAAAATGGCTGCCATCGAGGTATACAGAGTGTATCCTTTAAGAAAAAACATGTCAGTTTAACGGGGCTCTTTCGTTTTAGCGTGCGATCCAACATGCCAGAAGGACACTGAGCAGCATTTTCGTTAACCAAGTTAGCATCATCAGGAGAAGTTAATCAAAACGAATATAACGGAAAAATTCTACAGGGTGCCTCAAAACATATCGTTTGATAAAAAAAGAACGGTAACGAGGGTCTAACGTTTCAACGTGTGATCCAACATGTCAGAAAAACACTGAGCAGCATCTTCGTTAACCAAGTTGACATCATCAGGAGAAGTGGATCAAAAAGATTTTAATTTTGCTTACATACAGTGTCACCGATAAAGTCCGCATCAAATGGGAAACTTTTTTATTTATCGTTTTATGTGAAATTTGATTTTGGCAGTAGATTTTGCTTAAGAAATGATGTCAAATGGCGTCTACAAAATAGGTCACGTGATTTCCTTAACCTGTCAAAATTGACATTTAAAAAAAGAAACATCGAAAAATGACATTATTCTTCAAAATATCCAAAAATATCAAAGGAT